ATTTGTCAGCTCTTCCCTCCATAGTCCCCCCAATAGTCCACCAATTTAGCAACAATCCCCCCAAATTTCACTGCACTTTCTCCGGATAACTGTCGGCTCTTCCCTCCATAGCCCCCGCCCCCATAGCCCGCCAATTTAGCAACAACAATTTGTCAACTGCATTCCCAAAATATCACTCCTTTCAGAATTCATCCACTGAGGCACCTCCGCAAAGTTTCCCTCCATATTTCCCGAAAGTCCCTTGATGCACTCCCAAACATAGCCGACACAATCATGTTGTCTCGTTCCCTCCTTGGGTGTCACACACCTATCCTTGCCTTGCCTCAGTACCCAAATCTTTTCTTTTTATCCTCCTCATCAATGTGTTTCTCCCGCAGAATAGCCGCAGCCTCACCATCAACTACCACGTGGATCTTCCCCAAATTCCCGATATAACCTCCTTTCCACATTCACACATGGTGCTTGCCGCCAGTTTCTCTGCCCCTCTCACTCCTCTCGCCCAGTTCGTTAGGCGTCACCTAACCTCGTCGCCCGCCCTCCCAGAAAACAGTCTTCAAACTTCCCAGATTTCACCATTTCATCCCGAACTTATTATTCCCTTGGAAGATTGCCTCATGAGGAACCCCCACAGTCACTTTTCCTCCAATATTTACCAAAAAAAACCCATAATTTTTCCCAAAAACTGACGACGCAACCCCCCAATGAACCACCTCTCACGAGCGCCACCACCCGTCTCCTAGCGCCACCACCCGTCTCCCAGCGCCACCACCCGTCTCCCTTTACAACTTAAAAATTCTCAGTGTAATAAAAACTCTCCCGAAGAAATTTTATACATCACATATATTTAGTAATTTTCAAGTAATTCGATTACAAATGTAATTCGAGGTTCCCATTCCTGGTTTAGAGCCCCCCCACCACTGATCCCAGTCAATCAGGAATTTCAATCTGGAGTTAATTTAACGGTAACCGACGTTTAACCGTGGTTAGATAAACCAAAAACTGGCCCTAAAAGTCTTCACTGGGCCTTGGGATCCATTGAACAGTTTGTGATATATGCCGGAATATGTGAATAACCATCAGGGAAAAACGCGGACCCGATCGATTTTGACCCATATAACCATGAAAAACTTCATTTTTTGCTGTTTTTACCAAGGGGCTACTCACTCCTTAATTGAGTGACACCATGATTTCAAAATGAAGTCGATTCCGGATGATTTCAGCGGTTATTTCAGTGATTTCGAAAAAACTAATTTTGGTGATTTCGAGCGTCACGGAAGGTGATTTCATGATTTTGAATGACTCCATAAATTTGAAATCACTGATTTCAGAAAAATAAAGTTAATAAATAATAGGGGTGGGGCAAAACGGGTTGGATCAAATATGAAAATCGAAACGCAATATTAACTGCCAAATAATGACGAATTGGTTTGATTCTGTTCCGCCAATCTTGAGCTAATGACGATGAAAAGCGACCCATTTTATCATTTTACTATGGCAGTGAGTTCGGCATTTTATGATCATCGTTGGCAGGTGTGTCAATTTCGAAATCGCAAATTACTTATAGGGTTCGTACTACGCCAGTGCGCCACTGATTTCGGTGATTTCCTTGGGTTCATACGATTTCACGTGATTTCGGAATAATTTTATGCCAGAGTGGCGCCGTGATTTCGCAAGTGAGAAGCCCTTCAGTTTTTACCTTCAAAATGCTCCTTGCGCCGTAATTTTCATACGATTTTCGCTTTTTTTTTTAATGTTCGTTACACTCCAAAGAATAAAGTTGAGCATCCGTTGTACTTTATTCGCAATGGATCATGAATAAATGAATTTTGAATTTCATAAATATTTTGCATCGCTAAAGTAGGATTAAAAATTCATTTTTTTTGTAATTGAACATTGTAATCATGCGTAATTTAATTGTTATAAACAAAACAAGCAGGGGGTTCCAGCCTATTCGACAGAAGGCATGCGACTGTTTCTTTTTGCGTTATTAGTCTTTTTCTTCTTTTCATTTCTACCAATTCCATTGGTAGTAAGCTTCCGAATGGATCCGTTCCTCGTGCCTGTGACAGGCATACGCATATACATGCCTGTCACAGGCGCGAGTACTAGTACTTTACATAATACAAGGATTTTCATGAAAAAACAGAAAAACGGGAATATCTCGAACACTTTGTATGAACAGGTATAGATTTTTTAATTGATCTCGGTAGAGGACATCAAGACGAATATTTTGAAAAAAAAAATGGAATCGGTTGCAAAGTTTTAAAGATATTGAACATAATAGATTTTCAGAAAAAGTTGAATATCTCCGAAACTACTGGTGCGATTGAGCCCACCTCCAATACAAAACTTTGTTATCATAGGAGGAAGATTCTGTCCAAATTTTAAGTTGATATCTCGATTTTTGCACACGTTAGCGCGCGTACAAGGATTTTAATGAAAAAACAGAAAAGGGGAAATATCTCAAAAACTTTGTATGGACGGGTATATATGTTTTTGTTAATCTAGGTAGAGAACACCGAGACGAATATTTTGAAAAAAAAAATCTAAATCGGTCCAATAATTTGAAAGATATTCGTGAAAAACGATTTAAGGATAATCGGGCGAGGAGGAAATGTAGGAGGTGAGGTGGAGGGGTTTCTATTATTTTCCTGCAGAAAACCAATCGCTGAACGAAAAAATTTTTCCCATTCGGATTCAAAATTCGGGCAATATTAGGGAGTATCTCCGGTTAAAAATTATTTTTGGAACTAATCAAATTTATTTGTATCTGTTCCACGCATTGAATGGTTTTCAGATTGTTTCTTTGTAATAAATGAAAAAATATTAATCCATGCAAAAAAGTGGCAACATCGTCGGTAGTTTTCTTTTTCACCAGGAGCTGGTACCACTGACTCGAGGGAGCTCCAATCACAACGCTTCATCGCTCTCTTTCAAGAGACGTTTAAATTGACTGCGCTACCCCCACCCGATCGGTACTTGGGACGTTGCTACTCGTTTGGGCTGCGTGCGCAGAAATTTCATTTTTCAGTACTTTTTTCGCTATTATTAATAAACAATGTTCCTAGGCGACAATCTTCTTCACTCAAAAAATCACAGATCATATGTTCTAAATGTGTATAAAGTTTCATGACTTTGGCTGCATTTTTTCCTTGAGTTTTGCAGTTTTTTTGGTGATTTCTATAAGATCATGGGTTAAATGACCACTTTTTCCAAAATTCTTAATAAATTAACCATGCTCCCCAGCAGTCTAAAACTTTGCACACGCCTTTTCCATCATTTAAAGAATACGTAAAAAAAAGAAACAAATGGCTGATTTTTTTCCAACCCTCCAGCTCACCCGATTATCCTTAAAAACGAATCGCTTTATCTCAAAAACTACTTGACAGATCGGGCTGAAATTGTGCACAAAGTTAGTCCTTATTAAGACCTATAATCTGACAAAATTTCAAATTTTTTTGAATTATTTTAGCCACTTAGTTACTCAATTTTCTAAAAAATTGACCATCGAGAAGGTGGCGGTGAACATATTCACATACAGACATGGTCGCCAAACTTCGTATTTTTACGTTTCAGACCATTATATNAATATTAATCCATGCAAAAAAGTGGCAACATCGTCGGTAGTTTTCTTTTTCACCAGGAGCTGGTACCACTGACTCGAGGGAGCTCCAATCACAACGCTTCATCGCTCTCTTTCAAGAGACGTTTAAATTGACTGCGCTACCCCCACCCGATCGGTACTTGGGACGTTGCTACTCGTTTGGGCTGCGTGCGCAGAAATTTCATTTTTCAGTACTTTTTTCGCTATTATTAATAAACAATGTTCCTAGGCGACAATCTTCTTCACTCAAAAAATCACAGATCATATGTTCTAAATGTGTATAAAGTTTCATGACTTTGGCTGCATTTTTTCCTTGAGTTTTGCAGTTTTTTTGGTGATTTCTATAAGATCATGGGTTAAATGACCACTTTTTCCAAAATTCTTAATAAATTAACCATGCTCCCCAGCAGTCTAAAACTTTGCACACGCCTTTTCCATCATTTAAAGAATACGTAAAAAAAAGAAACAAATGGCTGATTTTTTTCCAACCCTCCAGCTCACCCGATTATCCTTAAAAACGAATCGCTTTATCTCAAAAACTACTTGACAGATCGGGCTGAAATTGTGCACAAAGTTAGTCCTTATTAAGACCTATAATCTGACAAAATTTCAAATTTTTTTGAATTATTTTAGCCACTTAGTTACTCAATTTTCTAAAAAATTGACCATCGAGAAGGTGGCGGTGAACATATTCACATACAGACATGGTCGCCAAACTTCGTATTTTTACGTTTCAGACCATTATATATAATTTCCAATGAAAATTAGAGAATGTGAAAATCGGACGATTACAAAGCTTCTATTCGGAAGCAAAAATGGCAGGTTCTTCAACCTAAAAAGGTGGATTCAAAAGAAAATTTATGAAATTCAAAATTTATTTATTTGTAATCTATTGTGAATAAAGTAAAGCCGATACTCAACTTTATAGTCTGAAGTGTAACGAACATTAACAAAAAAAGGTAAAATAGTAAGGAAAAAAATCGATCGGTTCCGCCATTTTCCCCAGTTATTCCCATTTTCCGTCAAATCTCACAAACTGTTCGATGGGTCCTAAGGCCCAGTGACGACTTTTAATTTTCACCGACGTATCCCCTTAATATTCTGATTCTCTAATTTCGATTAACGCAGTTTATTAATTTTCTCTCTATGTACTCATTCAACTCATCCATTTTCATATAATCAGGAAGTTGAACTGGAAGATGCATCAGAACGTGCACGTTTGGCCCTTCAGATAGTTCAACACTTGAGCATTGGTGAGGCAAAGGCCACCGAGGGCAGCGGTGACAATAATACCACTTCAAAGGCAACTATTGAGTTTACAAGAGAATTTGTTCAGCCTGTTGAAGCAGAAGAGACGGAATCTGAGGAGCTGAAGCTTGTGCTTGACAGGCAGCACAGTCTACTGCCAGTTTTTGGCCATTTACTTGCTATGAATCGCAAAGAGAGACAGCACGCTTCACCCCTCAGGAGACTTCTGGCTGAATCCAATATCGATTATGCACAACTCAAGGTAAGCTATAAAAATTGCCTAGCCATTGATCTCCACTCTCCCATAATACTCATAAATATATCCCTTTGCACTCCCAACACGAAGTAATATAATCACATTACCAGTCAGCTCCTTCCCTTCTCTCCCACTCATACATATAATTCAATATTTGTGTTTTCCAGAGAAGGAATAAAAGTGAATACAATAACATAATTTTTTCTGTCACCGTAAATAATTTCGTTGATGTGAAAGATGAAATAGAGGAAACTTTCACAATTTCTTTACGAAAATTGACGTATGATGATGAGACACATTTTATGTCTAATATTTCAGGAAACCTGGTCAAAGGAGGAAAAATATGGATTGGAAAAATTGATCAAGGATAGAGCCTCAAGTGCAACGAATACGGAAATTGAGGATCTTCTTGAAATACTTGAATGTCACTTTGACCCAGAAAAAACGCCAAAGGTCAAAGTCGAGACTAAACAGAGGAAAAGATCAAAGAAGAACAAAGAGAACCGCAAAGATGCCTCGGGGATAGAGAGTCCAGACACCACAACTTTGCATTCACCGATTAAAGTAACAAACGAATCACTTGATAATGCTGAGGTTTCACCAACAACAGCATAATAAATATTCACGTGCCTCTGATGAAATACCTCCCCTAGGCAACCCACGAAAAAGAGATGAGGGTGAATGGAATTTGTAGAGTAAACCGTTTAATTTTCAATACTCTACAGATAAAAGAGATCATTTTTTTTAGTTAAAGATTATTTTTTCGTTTATAAGGGAACAAGTCAGTGGGCCTGAGAACTGTTGAATGTTCAAATTGTTTCAATTACTCATTAACTTGTTTATTATTATTAATATCAAAGATATCTACTTCGTTAGCCAAGATTATTATTCGTTCTCCAATTCTAGAGTTCATGATCATTGATATTTTTTTATTAAACGATTTTCTATAAACTGATTAATATTAAGAGAGAAAATATATTTTTCGAAACATTACAAAAAAGAGGAAAAATTTTACAGCTGCATGATTTAGATCATCCTAGATATCGGTGTTCACTCGAGATTATGAATATCCAATTTTTGTTTTGTTTTTTTTTTCATTTTTCGATTTACGATGAGAGCCATTTTTCTTTTCGTTACAAACAAGTACATAATGTTGATTGCATAATTTCAATCGCAGTGAGTGGACACTGATTGAACTTCAAATAATGATTATGAATATTTAAGAAAACAACCAAATGGATTTCTAGTTATTTTTCCGATCTCATTGTACTGATAAAACAAATTTGAAATAAAGAGATTTACGACCAAAAAAGAGTTTTAAAAATTCATGAAAAGAACAGTCTCACACCTATAAGTAGAAGCTATAAACCAGAATTCACTTTTTTACGACATTAAATTCCACGGAGTTTGTAGCAGTAACGACCGTTATCCCGAGTATCACTTCACACGACCGCAATGATCTATGCAATCTGAATTGAATAAAAGTGAGAAGGTTTTACCCAGACTCTTCTCCAAGTTGAATATTGATTCGCCCCCTTTAAACGCATTTACCTCACTGCAATAATTCAGTCTCCTAGTCGTGCGATTTTTCTCCTTTTATCCGAGGAATAAAATCGACGACTCCATTGGAAAAAAAACTCGCTTGAATCTGCAACATTAACTCCTGAAACATTTTCTATAAAAATCGAAAAAGAAAGTACCATGGTGAAATGACCCATTTCCCCCCTGTAAAAATGTTGGAATAAATCTGACTGTAAATGCAACAGTGGGGG